TGATTTTGAGCATGCAAAAATGACATGTATATGATTTTTTTTATAAGAACATGGTTTTATAAGGAGATGACATGGCTAGGTGGGTTCAAGAGGGACAAGTGAAATGATCAATCCTTGTGAGGTTCATCGAATCGGATATGTCTAAAGCCTTTAAGACAAAAGAGGGCTGAAATGATATGTATTTAACAAGATGCACCTAAAAGACAGAAAAGAATTTCAAACACATAAAATAATGGTTTTAATTGCATTTTATGCATGTTTATATCTATCGAGCTTAGGGTTACTATTTTATCTTATGGTATTGCTTGAGCGAAACGATGCATAAGGATCGGTTAAATGTGTTAAGCATAATGGTTGTGAGATATAAAGTTTTTCAAAACTTATGCTACGAGTCTAGTTTTAAAGTTTGAAGGCCAAACTATTGCTATATTTTGGCCACTTTAAGGTAATTCCTAGAATCGATTATTTTAAGTTGTAAATGATATGGTCTTGCATTTTGGATGTATTAATATATATGTATATGTATATGTATACGTATATGTATATATGTATGTGTGTGTGTGTGTGTGTGTGTGTGTGTGTGTGTACACATAGATGAATTGAGGCTATTAATGGATTAGGTTTAAATTTTGTTTTTTTTTTTTATAGTTTTAATCTAAGGATGATTATAACCATTTTAGGTTTATGTTTAATTTGAGAATGGAAATGAAAGATTTTATATTATGTCACATGCTCGTGAAAAATTTAATAATATTAAATGTCAAATCTTAGGAGGCTTTGAACTTTAAACCAAGTAAGGAATTTCGTTATGTATCGTCGGAGAGGTCTAGGGTAGAGGACACGGTGCATTACCTTGTCTCCTTAGGTATGAGACATTGTAGTAGCACTCTCGACTCTCCGTTAGGCCACGGAGCCTTACAACAAGCCTTCAACCAACTTAATTCTCAAAATCACTTGACTAATTAATTTCATTCTAAAGAAAAAGACACTTAGATAAGTATAGACTCATAATATAGTAAGACCAGGCATTGGCATTCAACATGTATACGATATAGCCTATCTCATTTCGAATTCTATATAGACTAGTGATTTGGGTTTTCTAGTTTCTCCAATACTAGGTGATGACTCATTTCTATTGTCATATTTTCCAAGCATTCGTTAGAGCCCTAATATAATGCTCGTGATAGAAAGTGGAAATGTTGTATGATAAACACATAATTTATATACATTTATTCTCTATTCACTTCATCTATTTGTCATGTTTTATATCTTATTATGCTCATTTATGTTCAAATTAATGAACAAGACCTTAGTTGGAAATTTTTAAGAAAAATATGCTTTAAAGTGAAATTACTAACATCTTTGTACGGATGACCTTTCGAGTGTTATGCAAGTTTCACGTATGGAAGATGAATCTAGAAATAAAAGAGATCTTCGAGAAAACTTGTACAAGACATCCGAATTATTCCATACATAAATGTCTAATATGAGGAAATATAAGGTCGTTTGGTCCATGCGGAATTGGTGTAAAGTTAAAGCTGGAAGCTAGAAAAATCTTGACACATAACTCAAGCTTAAAAAAATGTAATTTAGGATACTAAAGGCTAAATTAAGTGATTAAAAAGCCAAAATCAAAAATGCAAAATTCAAGGATGGAACTTTCATGAAGAAACCAAGTCTAAAAAAAGTTGTTTCCTACTTCTAATTTTGGCCATAAGTTGATGTACTGATTATGTTTCTTATTCTATTAAGGAAACTTTGTGATTTTAGAAATATAAAATTAAGGAAAGATTTGAAGAATTATGGACTATGATTTTAAGTCAATTATGCATCCTAAATTAGGTATAATGAGGTCTCTTTCTAGCTAGGTTAAAAAGATGTTTTTTTTTTTATAGAATTTTGATATAACATATTTTTATTTTTTGGAGTCTTCATCAATATGTGTGGCTATGTTTCTTGTTTATAATTCAAGAGGATTTTGGAGCTCAACTTCATGTCAATGGTGTAGTTAGTTATTAGTAATGTTGTTCTTATCCTTGTTTCTTATTGGAATTAGGTAAGTTATTTTGTATTATTGGTTTATGATTTTTATTTAAATGATTTAGTCAAGGACTTGCTAAACTCTTTGGATTGAAATTAATGTGAAAGATTTAGAGATTGTGATATGTAATTATCCTATTTCTAATCAATAAGTTACGAATGGTAATAGATGATTATGGGTAAGTTTTCATTATGTCATTGTGAATCACATACCCTAAGCTAAATAATTCAAATTGTGTGATTGTTGCTTAGATTGATATGTTTTTCCTCTTTTTTAAGGCTGCCTTGAATTAAACATAGTGAGCTTACTTGAGGTCGTTCAAAGGTTAGACTTTAATTAAAGAGCTCATTTCAATAGTGATAATCTAAGGGAAAAATCAAGCAACAAAGTTAATTGCTTGCCTAGGATCAATAACTCCATTAAACGACATAGAATAACTTTATGATTATTTAGGTCCATTGCATGTGTGGGTGGAATTTTAACCAAGAATTAGAGTTCTTTAATAAGATTAAGTTAGAGAAAAAGAAATATGTGATCTTATTTAAATATTATTGTGGGTTTTTTACATGTAGTTTCTTTGTAAGACAAGAATTGTGTATATTTGCTAAGAGTTGTGTCTATTTACAATTTATATTTATTTTTAAAAAATGTATCTATTGGTCGAAGAGTCGTAATATAATAGAATTGTGTCTACTAATCAAGAGTTACAATTAATATACACATCTATTTGAATGATTGTTTGTTGTCTATAGAAGTGATGAGTGTCCGGTTAACGGAAATTAAAATTAATTCCAATAATACTTCTTAAATATAAACACAAAAAAATTTATTCTATTACCAAAAGTCCTATGTGATTCTCCGAGTACATAAAAATTCTATTGAAAATTTATGCGAGTCCTACATTATATACTTTCTTAATTGCTCCCTTTACATGAAATGAAAAATAGTAACACCAAAAGTTAATGATTAAAATATTTTGTGACAATGTGTGCGAGTGCCCGCACTTGCTTGCATGAACTTAGGTGTATGTAAACAATTTGTAATAAGGGAAAGTGTCATGCTTCATTATTTATTAGGTTTTGATGATACCAATTACTCTAAGTGAGTACCAATAATGATGTGTTACTCATTGTTGCATATTATGAACCTCTCATGATATAAACCGAATATTTTTATTATTATGAATTATTGATTCTTGAAACACATATTTAAGCTCTAGGCACTAAAGATAGCATCACAAGAATGCAAGTCCTTAGTTTCTACATAATGTGAATAAAATTTATTACTCCATAACCACTTTTAAGTTTTCACTTGCATTGGCATATAGGAACATTAGCGAGTAGGAATTGGTTTCACATTACAATGGCGAGTATAAGATTTAGTCTAAAGCTTTAAAGAAGTGCCAAATTATAACCGAGTGGATAATCTTTTGCTGTAGGTTTGTTTGGTTTTCTTTTTCCATTATTGGACGTTCGATCTAGTGTCCGGATGGAATCATGCATCAAGAATGACTTTAGATACATTGAACTTAACATAAATGTTAGTGAGAAAATCATAGGAGAAAAATATGATTATTCTTTCGGAAGAGAAAATTTTAATGTTTTGTAGCTTAATTTCCTATAATTTAGAATCATTACGAAAGAGATGGTAAGGAATTCGTACAAATTTCAAATTTGAAACCTACATGTGAAGTTGGAGGTTAAAGGTTAAAACTTCCACTCTCTTTTGTGTTTTTTTTTTTTAATGGCTAAAAAGAAAAATATAGGATTTCTTTTCCTTTCGAATAATAATATTTTATCAACGAGTTATTTTTAACAAGACATTATATGAATTCATCAACCTCGAGAGTTGATTGGGTGGCAATAGACTCTTATCTTACTAGGTGATTTGGTGGCAATAGATTTTGCAAACACCGACTCTATCTATAGGGTTCTATCCATGTAAAATTAACAATAATAATAATTGAAAAAGCATTACAAAACCAATGGATATCTTTCTTATTCTTCTATGACAAAGAAATACCAAAAAGCACAATCTCATCACGAGAAATAAAAAATTAAGATGACAAAACACAATACAACAATAACTTTTTATTTTTGAGATAAGATGTATATAGAATAAGAAATTTTATAATACTCAAATAGAACTAATATCATATATAGTAGTTATTCAGTTGATCCATTTTGTAGAGAGATAGACACAAAAAAGAGAAAAAATTACATCCCGATACACTCAAAATGATAAGAATATTTTTTATGTTCATTTAATTTTTTAATTTTCTCTCTCATGTTTCTCTTCTCTTTCTTTGTGTTTATATCTCTCTTTAAAATGAGTCAGTGAAATAATTATTATACATATCCTTAATTGCTCCTTTAATATTATAAAATTTCTTATATGGAATCTTCTAGAGATTACATTTCAACCAAATCTCTTTCCTTTGCGTTCACTGTACTTGCTAATGACATCATTAATTATTTTCTGTTTAAAGCTTGGAAAATTGTTAATAGACCCAATAAACAATCTGGTTTTGAAATTCTATGCGCTAATGCAAAACAAGACAAGAAATCCAATGGCCAGGGGATATAAAGAAACCATAACCGATAAAACCACACATAGAAAGGGACAAAAAAACTTGTCGACGCGTAAAAAGGGCCAAAACCACATATAGAATGGGACAGAAAGGCATGCTTATTCCCTAGGCTAACAATGCCAGCCAAGAAACAAGAAAATCACGCAGAAAAAGAAACAAGAACCATATGTAGAAAGGGACAAAACCACACGTAGAAAGGGACAGAAAGACAGGTCCACACATAGAATCGTATGGAAAGGCATTTCATGGCATGTAAGGACACGTGGAAGCGTGAAAACCCTAACAAGAAGACGAAGTTGGCCTATATAGTCCACCATATTCATTCTCCAACATCACAACTCTAATTAGAAGGGCCGCCTTTTACAAAGAATGGAGAGAATAAGTGAAGTAGGAGATAGAGATGATGACGACGATGATGACGAGAAACAAGCTCCTATGGTTTGTGCTTCCTTTTTGTTTCTGTGTCTTCCTTCTGTCTTCTTTGGTAGGGTTAGTAAAATTTTGTTTGCTCAGAGCTTGTTAGGTGGAAAATGAATCACGGTTGACTATAATGATTTGTTATCTTCAGGTTTGGAGCAGAAGAAAATGGGGAGCAAGTGCTCATCCAGTATTTCGCACCATGGCTCACTCTGGCTTAGATCAAGCACAGTATCTTCCTTCCTAGCTCAAACTGTCTTTGACAAAGAACAGGTATTGCATTCGGCTATTTTGAATTATCATGTTGTCAATTTCCTCAAGTTTTTGGGCCTACGTTTATTTTTCCTAATATGAAACCTTTTCTTCCTCTTTGTTTTTGTGGCTCTTGCTTAGCATAGCTTAAAAACATTTTCAAATTTGGGTTTTTAAAATTGATTTTCGGATGAATTTAATGAAAAATAATGAGTATAGAGGAAATTATTGAATTTGATACCAACTATTAATTAATATATCAGTGTTTTTTCTGGTATTAAATTGTTGCAGCTTATGATCTAAAAGTGAGGTTCCTGATGTTTGATTTAACTGCACAATATTATATCACTTCTCTTGCTGCCTCTTCCACATCCACATCCATGGCTGCAGAAGGTCTACAAGCTGGGGTGCTGAGCAGCCTGACCGTTCTTGGAAACGTGAGGGTGTTCCAATTGTTTATCTTTTTGCTTACGTGATCCTCAATGGTGGGAAACCCCCATTTCCCGTTCAACATATCGGTAAGCTCCTGGACTGACGGGATGACTAGATGCACAAATCCAAGGAAGGACGAAATCTGGTAACCCCCAGCTCCCGTTCAACGGGCTTAATTACTACTAAAATTATAATAGAAGAAGCAGCCCTTGGGTATTTCTACGAAAAGAGTAGAAATTATACATTGTATGGACATGAATACAATAGGCATCAAAAGAGTCAGTTTCTTACCGAATTGGAAGCAAATAATGACAAGGATGTGTACTCGGGATCTCAAGATTCTGTTTCTTATCAAGATGGACGGCATAGATGGAACTGGAATAGAGAAAAATCTGTTTATATGTAATGCATAAATTTTGATTGTCAATGTGTACAAGGATGTTACTGCTGTAAATCCTTCTTGAAATAACCACATGTAAATTCTACTATGCTGTCTGCACTTCTTGAATTATTAGGAGTTTGATTTGGTATATCTTCAAACACAAACTATTAGTAAGTTTAGGATTCAATCCAATCCCACAAGTCTATATATCAACAGATTTTAATGGTTAGGATTTTATTTAACCAATTTAGTGAGTGGTTAGAATTTTTATTTTTAAATTGATAAATATTTTCTCTATAATAATAAATAAATAATACCATTAATTTTTAATGGGATGAAGAATATGTAGTCTTCATCTATACAAATTTCAAATAACAATTAAATAATTAATTAATTGTAAAAATCTTCAATTTATCGCTTTACTTATAATCAAAGATTTGAAACAATAAAATAAAAAAAAATTCAAAAAGTTTTAAAATGATGGCAGCATTAATATACCCTAGAGAAAAAAATTATTAAATGGAATTAAAAAAGAAGTCTAATAAATAGAAAAATATAAAAACAAATATAGAGCTATTAGAAAATGAGTTCCAAAAAAAAAAAAAAACAAAAAAACAAAACGGCATAAAAACCAATATGTTGGTCTTTCTTGTAAAAACATGCGTATGAAGAACAACGTAATGATGATGACGACATGCAAGGGTTTAAGTGTGATTTCTTTTATCAAATTAGGTTTGGTTAACAATTTTTTTTTTTTACTGTTTGTTTGTATCTATAGGTTTTAAGTTGAAATAAAATGGAGGAATATTACACCTCTGTTTGGAATTTTTTTGGAACCATCTAGTTAGTTTGGTTCCTTCAAATGTAGAAATTAACGATGAAAATACGGATCGGATCGAGATAGAGGTTATTTTCCACCCCTACTCAACTAGTCTTGGAGTAGAAAACATGTCTATTTGTAATGTTTTATTTTGGAATTTTAGCTTTTTAATTTCAACCATATATGGAATTAGAATCTTTCCGTTATTTGTTAATTATAGAATAATTAAGTTATATTGATTTTACATAACAGACGAGCTATGGATTTAGTTGTTGGTTTCTAAAATCTTTAAATTATATATCTTTAGATTCATTTTAAATGTACGTGTGCATGGACACGTCTAAATTGAATGCAGGATAGGATCTATACATTTGGAATCTTTAAACTATATATTTGATAGTGTTTGTTTAATTAGAATCTTTGAACTATGTTTGGAATGATTTTAAATGTTATTTTTTATCATTAAGTGAGTGACAATATATGTATGAGTGCTTGTACATGACTGCATGCGTATTAAATAGAAATGATTATCTATGTGATTGATCCAAGTTGTTCAAGACTGTGAGTACGAACATTTGACAAGCTATATGTCTTTTTTACATACAACCAAAACTACTTGAAATGAAAAACAACATTTAATATTTAAGCTTGTAGCTAAAATATTCTTGCAATGTATGTTAGTGTGGTTCAAATGTAATAAGGGAATTTACATCTATTGATTGTATTCGAAAATTGGTTATATTTGGCTATATTTCATGTTATATTATAGGCATTAAAAGTGTTTATTTATGCATATACCAAAGTTGTAGTAAAAAGGACCTAATTAAATTTATCATAGTAGCATAACTTGTGTGATGGTTTATGGCAAGAGACTACAATATATAGATTGAGACCTATAAGTTTAATTATTTTGTGTAAAAACACAATGATTCCATTAAATTTGTCATCACCCCTCACACAAAAAACAAAATAAAGATAAAAAAAATAAAGAAGATAAAAAAATAATAAAAAAAGAAAGAAATGGGTTTGGGAATTTGGGGCTCTCAATGGACCACGGGAATGATATTGCACTACTTTATATGCTTGTAAACCTTTGTAATTTGCCTAGAACGACACAAATTAAAATGATTCAAACGAGTACTAAGAAAACTTCAACATTTCTTTCTAACACCACATGATTAATGGTATAGTTTGATGAAAGTATTGTTTTACCCTACATTGAGAAAAATAAATTTACATCCACTATAAAAGTTCATGAAATGTTTTTCTTATGGTGTAGGTATTGATGAAAATGTTGAAGATGTTGATGTTGGTCTAGTTACTCATGTGCTTGCCATAAGTGTCCTTAAAGGAATGAAGAATGTGTTATATTTTTAATGAATGAGTACGAGTTTGTGTATGAATGTTTAAGTTTTATGAATGTTCTTATGAATATTAGATGTAAGAATGTTGAAATTTTGAATGTTAGGAATTAATGTTTAATAGCCGAGTATGAACAACATATTGAGGTTATTTATAAATATTGAATGATGATAAAAGATGTTGTTAGAATTTAGGAATGAATGGTGGTTATATTATTGATGATAAGTTTTAGTTGATATATTTAATGATGAATGAGATTATATTAAGAACAAGATTCAAGGAAATGAGAGGATATAGGTTTTAATAGCATCTTATCCGTTCGTGACCCTTTTGGTAAAACGTTTCAAACAATTGATGTTATAGCTTCGTATGAGAGAAAAATAGATCCAATAGACCTTTTTTGGAAAAAAAATGTTATGATTTTTTTAATAGATAAGGTTTGAATATTTGAGGTTTGATGGCACACATAAGTTCAAGGCTAGGCAACAACATCAACAAGTAAATGGTTTCTTGCTTTATATATATATATATATTATAGAGCCGAGTTAAGGTATTTAATATTATACGTGTAATGATATTTGAGTTTTTTATTGATTTAAATGTTATAATGATGATTATGTGATAGAATACTAAGGTTGAACGAACGAATTATTGAATAATTGTTGTCGTTGGGTTAAAAATAGGATTAGATCTAGTGAACCAATGATGCTTGATTATGTGTGTTGGAGATTGATAAGTGATTCGGTTTGTGATTATGGGATCAAACCTAAATTTCTTAAATCGATGTATGAGGTGACTCTAATTTTAAGGGAGGTGATGGAATCGAGAGATATAATTATGAATTATCACTACAAGAAAGATATGTTTTAGCGACGGTCAAAAAATCATTGCTAAAGACAAATATTAGCAACGATTTTACCGACTTTAGCAACGATCTAAAAAATGATTATAAATATTAAACTTTGCGATCGTTTTTTAACGATGGCCTACGGAATCCGTTGCTAATGTTAAAGGCCAACCATTTTAGCGACAGTTTCAATTTATAAGAAACCGTTCCAAATTTAGCAACGGTTTATATCATCGCTAAATCGTTGCTAAATGTTATTTAATATTTTTTATAAAAAAACCGTTGCTAAATAAAATACAATTTAGCATATATATATATATATATATATATATATATATATATATATATATATATATGTACACGGATGAATTGAGGCTATTAATGGATTAGGTTTAAATTATGTTTTTTTTTATATATAGTTTTAATCTAAAGATGATTATAACCATTTTAGGTTTATGTTTAATTTGAGAATGGAAATGAAATATTTTAGATTATGTCACATGTTGTGAAAAATTTAATAGTATTAAATGTCAAATCTTACGAGGCTTTGAACTTTAAACCAAATAGGGACTTTCGTTATGTATCGTCGAGAGAGGTCTAGGGTAGAGGACACGGTGCATTGCCTTGTCTCCTTAGGTATGAGACATTATAGTAGCACTATCGACTCTCTATTAGGCCACATGCCTTACAACAAGCCTTCGACCAACTTAATTCTCAAAATCACTTGACTAATTAATTTCATTCTAAAGAAAAAGACACTTAGATAAGCATAGACTCATAATATAGTAAGACGAGGCATTGGCATTCAACATGTATACGATATAGCCTATCTCATTTCGAATTCTATATAGACTAGTGATTTAGGTTTCCTAGTTTCTCCAATACTAGGTGATGACTCATTTCTATTATCATATTTTCCAAGCATTCATTAGGTCCCTAGTATCATGCTCGTGATAGAAAGTGGAAACGTTGTATGATAAAGACATAATTTATACATTTATTCTTTATTCACTTCATCTATTTTTCATGTTTTATATCTTATTATGCTCATTTATGTTCAAATTAATGAACGGGGCCTTAGTTTGAAATTTTTAAGAAAATATGCTTTAAAGTGAAATTCCTAACATCTTGGTACAAATAACCTTTCGGGTGTTATGCGAGTTTCAAGTATGGAAGACGAATCTAGAAATAAAAGTGGTCTTCGAGAAAACTTGTAGAAGACATCTTAAATATTCCATAAAGGTCTAGTATGAGGAAATCTAAGGTCATTTGGTCCATGCGGAATTGATGTAAAGTTAAAGTCGGAAGCTAGAAAAATCTTGACACAAAACTCAAGCTTAAAAAATGTAATTTAGGCTACTAATGGCTAAATTAAGTGATTAAATAGCCCAAATCCAAAATGCAAAATTCAGGGATAGAACTTTCATGAAGAAACCAAGTCTAAAAAAAGTTATTTTCTACTTCTAATTTTGGCCACAAGTTGATATACTCGATTATGTTTCTTATTCTATTAAGGAAACTTTGTGATTTTAGAAATCTAAAATTAAGGAAAGATTTGAAGAATTATGGACTATGATTTTAAGTCAATTATGCATCCTAAATTAGGTATAATGAGGTTTCTTTCTAGCTAGGTTAAAGATATGTTTTTTTTTTTTGGATAGAATTTTGGTATAACATATTTTTATTTTTTGGAGTCTTCATCAATACATGTGGCTATGGTTCTTGTTTATAATTCAAGAGGATTTTGGAGCCCAACTTCATGTCAATGGTGTAGTTAGTTATTAGTAATGTTGTTCTTATCCTTGTTTCTTATTGGAATTAGGTAAGTTATTTTGTATTATTGGTTTATGATTTTTACTTAAATGATTTAGTTAAGGATCTGCTAAGTTATTTGGCTTGAAATTAATATGTTAGATTTAGAGATTGTGATATGTAATTATCCTATTTCTAATCAATAAGTAACAAATGGTAATAGATGATTATGGGTAAGTTTTCATTACGTCATTGTGAATCACATACCCTAAGCTAAATGATTCAAATTGTGTGATTCGTTGCTTAGATTGATATGTTCTTCCTCCTTTTTAAGGTCGCCTTGAATTAAACATAGTGAGCTTACTTGAGGTCGTTCAAAGGTTAGACTTTAATTGAAGAGCTCATTTCAGTAGTGATAATCTAAGGGAAAAATCAAGCAACAAAGTTAGTTGTTGCCTAGGATCAATAACTCCATTAAACGAGCATAGAATAACTTTATGATTATTTATGTCCATTGCATGTGTAGGTGGAATTTTAACCAAGAATTAGAGTTCTTTAATAAGATCAAGTTAGAGAAAAAGAAATATGTGATCTTATTGAAATATTATTATGGGTTTTTTACATATAGTTTCTTTGTAAGACAAGAATTGTGTATATTTCCCAAGGGTTGTGTCTATTTACAATTTATATTTATTTTAAAAAAATTTATCTCGTTGGTCAAGAGTCGTAATATAATAGAATTGTGTCTACTAATCAAGAGTTGCAATTAATATACACATCTATTTGAATGATTGTGTGTTGTCTATAGAAGTGATGAGTGTCCGGTTAACGAAAATTAAAATTAATTCCAATAATACTTCTTAAATATAAACACAAAAAATTTTATTCTATTACCAAAAGTCCTATGTGATTCTCCGAGTACATAATAATTCTATTGAAAATTTATGCAAGTCCTACATTATATACTTTCTTAATTGCTCCCTTTACATGAAATGAAAAATAGTAACACCAAAAGTTAATGATTAACATATTTTGTGACAATGTGTGCGAGTGCACGCACATGCTTGCATGAACTTAGGTGTATGTAAACAATTTGTAATAAGGGAAAGTGTCATGCTTCATTATTTATTAGGTTTTGATGATACCAATTACTCTAAGTGAGTACCAATAATGTTGTGTTACTCATTGTTGCATATTATGAACCTTTTATGATATAAATCAAATATTTTTATTATTATGAATTATTGATTCTTGAAACACATATTTAAGCTCTAGGCACTGAAGATAGCATCACAAGAATGCAAGTCCTTAGTTTCTACATAATGTGAATAAAATTTATTACTCCATAACCACTTTTAAGTTTTCACTTGCATTGGCATATAGGAACATTAGCGAGTAGGAATTGGTTTCACATTAAAATGGCGAGCATAAGATTTAGTCTATAGCTTCAAAGAAGTGCTAAATTATAACCGAGTGGATAATCTTTTGCTGCAGGTTTGTTTGCTTTCCTTTTCCATTATTGGACATTCGATCTAACGTCCAGGTGGAATCATGCATCAAGAATGTCTTTAGATACATTGAACTTAACATAAATGTTAATGAGAAAATCACAGGAGAAAAATATGATTATTCTTTCGGAAGAGAAAATTTTAATGTTTTGTAGCTTAATTTCCTATAATTTAGAATCATTACGAAAGAGATGGTAAGGAATTCGTACAAATTTCAAATTTGAAACCTACATGTGAAGTTGAAGTTGGAGGTTAAACGTTAAAACTTCCACTCTCTTTTGTGTTTTTTTTTTTTTTAAGGCTAAAAAGAAATATGTAAGATTTCTTTTCCTTTTGAATAATAATTCAACAAGTTATTTTTAATAAGACATTATATGAATTCATCAACCTCAAGAGTTGATTGGGTGGCAATAGACTCTTATCTTACTAGGTGATTTGGTGGCAATAGATTTTGCAAACACCGACTCTATCTATAGGGTTCTATCCATGTAAAATTAACAATAATAATAATTAAAAAAGCATTACAAAACCAATGGATATCTTTCTTATTCTTCTATGACAAAGAAATACCAAAAAGCACAATCTCATCATGAGAAATAAAAAAATTAAGATGACAAAACACAATACAACAATAACTTTTTATTTTTGAGATAAGTTGTATATGGAATAAGAAATTTTATAATACTCAAATAATAACTAATGTCATGTACGGTAGTTATTCCGTTGATCCATTTTGAGGAGAGATAGACACAAAAAAGAGAAAAAATTACATCCCGATACACTCAAAATGATAAGAAGATTTTTTATGTTTATTTAATTTTTTTAATTTTCTCTCTCATGTTTCTCTTCTCTTTTTTTGTGTTTATATCTCTCTTTAAAATGAGTCAGTAAAATAATTATTATACATGTCACTTAATTGCTCCTTTAATATTATAAAATTTCTTATACGGAATCTTCTAGAGATTACATTTCAACCAAATCTCTTTCCTTTGCGTTCACTTTACTTGCTAATGACATCATTAATTATTTTCTGTTTAAAGCTTGGAAAATTGTTAATAGACCCAATAAGCAATCTGATTTTGAAATTCTATGCGCTAATGCAAAACAAGACAAGAAATCCAATGGCCAGGGGATATAAAGAAACCATAACCGATAAAACCACACATAGAAAGGGACAAAAAAACTTGTCGACGCGTAAAAAGGGCCAAAACCACATATAGAATGGGACAGAAAGGCATGCATATTCCCTAGGCTAACAATCCCAGCCAAGAAACAAGAAAATCACGCAGAAAAAGAAACAAAAACCATATATAGAAAGGGACAAAACCACACGTAGAAAGGGACAGAAAGACAGGTCCACACATAGAATGGTATGGAAAGGCATTTCATGGCATGTAAGGACACGTGGAAGCGTAAAAACCCTAACAAGAAGACGAAGTTGGCCTATATAATCCACCATATTCATTCTCCAAGATCACAACTCTAATTAGAAGGGCTGCCTTTTACAAAGAATGGAGAGAATAAGTGAAGTAGGAGATAGAGATGATGACGACGATGAGGACGAGAAACAAGCTCCTATGGTTTGTGCTTCCTTTTTGTTTCTGTGTCTTCCTTCTGTCTTCTTTGGTAGGGTTAGTAAAATTTTGTTTGCTCAGAGCTTGTTAGGTGGAAAATGAATCACGGTTGACTATAATGATTTGTTATCTTCAGGTTTGGAGCAGAAGAAAATGGGGAGCAAGTGCTCATCCAGTATTTCGCACCATGGCTCACTCTGGCTTGGATCAAGCACAGTATCTTCCTTCCTAGCTCAAACTGTCTTTGACAAAGAACAGGTATTGCATTCGGCTATTTTGAATTATCATGTTGTCAATTTCCTCAAGTTTTTGGGCCTACGTTTATTTTTCCTAATATGAAACCTTTTTTTTTTTTTTTTTTTTTTTTGTGTGGCTTGTGCTTAGCATCGCTTAAAAACATTTTCAAATTTGGGTTTTTAAAATTGATTTTCGGATGAATTTAATGAAAAATAATGAGTATAGAGGAAATTATTGAATTGGATACCAACTATTAATTAATATATCAGTGTTTTTTCTGGTATTAAATTGTTGCAGCTTATGATCTAAAAGTGAGGTTCCTGATGTTTGATTTAACTGCACAATATTATATCACTTCTCTTGCTGCCTCTTCCACATCCACATCCATGGCTGCAGAAGGTCTACAAGCTGGGGTGCTGAGCAGCCTGACTGTTCTTGGAAACGTGAGGGTGTTCCAATTGTTTATCTTTTTGCTTACGTGATCCTCAATAGTGGGAAACCCCCATTTCCCGTTCAACATATCGGTAAGCTCCTGGACTGACGGGATGACTAGATGCACAAATTCAAGGATGGCCGAAATCTGGTAACCCCCAACTCCCGTTCAACGGGCTTAATTACTACTAAAATTATAATAGAAGAAGCAGCGCTTGGTTATTTCTACGAAAAGAGTAGAAATTATACATTGTATAGACATGAATACAATAGGCATCAAAAGAGTCAGTTTCTTACCAAATTGGAAGCAAATAAGGGCAAGGATGTGTAATCGGGATCTCAAGATTCTGTTTCTTATCAAGATGGACGGCATATTCGGTACTGGAAAAGAGAAAAATCTGTTTATATGTAATGCATAAATTTTGATTGTCAATGTGTACAAGGATGTTACTGCAGTAAATCCTTCTTCAAATAACCACATGTAACTTCTACTATGCTATCTGCAGTTCTTTAATTGTCTTCAGTTCAACCTCTACACATTACAAGATTCTCTTAAATCTTTATTAACATTAACAAAGAACAAAAAAATTTAGAGAACAATAAGAAAGAAAAACAAACTATTAGAAGTTTGATTGATTTCGTATATCCTCATTTGCTTATCATTATCTCCACTCTCTTCTTCTTCTTCACCAACTCTTTTGGTGAACGAATATGAGGGATTATGTTGGCCAGTTTCATTTTCTTATTTGGGTTTTCTAATAGCACATGTCCTGCTTTATCTTCTGATTTGAGTTTTTCAAATAGCATGTGTGCTTACAAAAACCTGTCCTTCTCTTCCTGTATGTGTGTGGGACTGCAAACTAAGAAAATAGAGAAATTTGCTTGCTATGTGTCTTGCCTTTTCACTTTATCTGGGTTTTCTAATAGCACGTCTCCGCGCATACCAGAACCAGTGCTTTCTTTCCCTTTCTATGTGCGGGACTGCCAACCTAGAAATTATAGAAATTTGCTTTCTGTGGTTTTCTTATACTGCGTGATTTCTAGCGTTGGATAAGTGCAAGAGTAATAATTCCAACAGAGGGTTAGGGTCAATCCAATCTAACTATTATTTTCAAATCGATGATTTGGCTCCTTCCTAGTAGTAACTAAATAATGAAAAAAAAAAAACTTTATTAGGGTTAGGTCAAATTATTTAGATACTTTTTACAAAGAAAACCAACTGTTAAAAAAAAAAAAAAAAAAACCGGCTGAGGCAAAATTCAAAATCAATACGTTACTAATAACTTAAGGGTTCATTGGCAAGTACGAATAAGGTGGAGGTTAAAATCCAATCCCACAAGTCGTTCCAAATTTCTCTCATGTTATAATTTATTTAATCAGCTTAATATTTGCAATTATGAATTGGAATTCTTCCTTTAACTCCTAATATGAGTCAGTTTAGGATTCGATCCAATTCCACAAGTCTATATCTCAATAGGTTTTAATGGTTAGGATTTTATTTAATCAATTTAGTGGGTGGTTAGAATTTTTATTTTTAAATTTATAGATATTTTCTCTATAATAATAAATAAATAATACGATTAATTTTTAATGGGATGAAGAATATATAGTCTTCATCTATACAAGTTTTAGATAATAATTAAATAAAATAATTTGTAACATCCTCAACCTAGAAGCTAATAAGTTGAGAATATTACCATCGTTAGCCACATTCGAAGTGCAATGCATGTAAGCTAATAAGGCACTATGATCTTATTGTAACGTATATAAGAATATTTATGTGGTAAAAATCTTTTAATGACGTTCGGGTCCTATTTCTTATTTCAACTTCGCTATAAATATTTTGCGTTTATGTCGTGTTTATTTATCATGGTATTTTATTTTAATTTATTTCATTTTACATGTTTGCTAAATCTCTAATCATGTCAATATGCGAGTGGATAATTTAAAGTAATTATACTACTCGTTATGATATTATTATTTTATTATTACCGATTCGATTACACATCTTAACTATTTACATACACGATCGATTCTATGTCAACTAATTTGTGTAATGAGTTTACCGGAAGCCAAACCCTCATCCAAGCTATATGTGTCCGATGCCTCCCTCGGTAGTCAACTTCGCGGAGAAGTGAGTCGTAGCATCTTATTTATCTACACCACAAGGAACTGTATGAGCTACGACCCGGTAAGTTAACGTATACATGTAGTATACATACATATGTATGTATGCATAAAACACTACTATGTATAATGAATCCCTTTTTCTTATGTCATAAAACATTTTATAAACGATCCGAAAATTCTTTTTCGTCTTTGGACATGTCCCATTTAAGTACTTTAAGGTTTCCTTCACATATGTCTAGCGAACCGGACCCATCCACGAACACACCCTATTGAGCCTCTAAAAGTGCACGTCCGCACTTGCTCGGCCACCGAACCATTACCATTACCATATGGAATACCCATGAAGCCCATCCTCATAAAAATCCTCAAAGTCATGAAAATTCTCTTCTTTAAAATAATTCGATCACTATCGGAAATTCATAGCATAAAATACGTTTCCATGACTTAAAACATCATTCATGAGCTTTGGCATGCATACGCATTGTGAATGACAATGCATGCGAACAATGATACCCAAGTGCATGCCCTAAATCATCATGTAACCATGTTATGAAAACACATAACACATATAAAATCGGGGAGCATAACGAGCATAGATAACATCAACCCATATCAAGCAACGCAACCAACATTGGCTCATCGGTGACCATAACCACATTTCTCATCACCAATCACAACTCAAGCATAACCATCATTCATTATTCATTGCATTCCACACATTATTAGGAAGAAATTACAATCATAATATAAAAGTAAATAATTACATTTCATTTTCGTTTCATTAACTTACTATACATTTTAACATTTCTAAATTATTTTTCTTAGGTTGCTAACTACCTTTTTGAATCTAGCCTTTACAAAATTAGGTATTAATCCATGTTCTAACTTAATTAAGTACTATTTCATTAATTAGTTGGTCCAATTTCGGTTTAGGCCTAAAGTCCAATTTTTCCTAAATCAATTTTTTTTTAGATTTTCATGAAAACTTTTTTTCTAAATCATCTCTTTACCTTATTTTACACTTGAATGAATTAATTTAGGGTTTGGAACTTACTTTAAACTTCCCAAAATTTCTCATTTAGGCCGGATATTTCACCATTTAAATTCCTAAGATTTTCTTCTCATTTAGCCTTACCATTTTAACACGAAGTAGCCTAGATATGTAAAACTATAAGAATTAATTTAATTGAAATTTGGGACCCGAAATCTGGTCCAAACCCGTATTGGGCCTTAATGGGCTGAAATTGGGCCCAATCCCATAAAACCCATTTTCTTCAACTTTTGACAAATTTTTCACTTCAAATCATCAAAATATACTTATTTAAGTGTATATGACTCACCAAACCATAATAGGATTGCTTGGAATTCCAATCTTAAATTTCTTTAGTTTAGGCCGAATGTAATTTCTACCCATTGGTGGATTTTTCTTCAATTAAAGTGAAAATTTTCATTTATAAACATTAATTCATGCTGAAATAAGTCATAATCAAGTGTCAAAGTACCAATTAAATGAAAGAATTCGAAACCCCCAAATTTGGTTCATCAAGAACCCTAACCCTATTTTTTTCTTAATTGAACAATTAAATCCAATCAAGCAATTAAACAAGAAATTGACACGAAATTAAGCATTCTTGTGGTGTAGGTAAGGTTAAATTACTTTTTTGAGGTCGAATTAGACTCTAAAAAGGTAGATTGGTGAAGGATTTTCCTTCCTCCTCTTTTCCTCTAAATTTTTGAATTTGATCTTCAAATTGTTTCTTTGAGATTTTCGGCTTCCCATTTAAAATTCAAGCTTATTCCATTTATTAGAGGTGGATAGAATTTATTAAAAAAAATTTTAGTGATTTTTAGGTGAAAATTTTGTAAGAGTTTCCTCTGTGTTTTTCAATTTTTCCTCTCCTTTTTATTTTTCCAGCACCCCTATTTATATTAAATTTTGTGGAATCATTAACTCATCCCCACGCTTAATGTGGGAAAATCCTATCCCTTAATTTAATTTTTAATCATTCATTTGCATTTGTCCTAATTTTTATCCATTTATTCACCTTTTTATTTAACCCTTCCACCTTTTTTATTTTTGGCCATAATTTTTATTGGAAGTTTGAATTAATTAATTCTCTAGGTCGCCCAAATTTGGGAGGAAAATGATAAATTTTGGTTCTCCAAGCTTCTAGACTTTTCCATAGCCCATTTTTTTTAAGTCCCTTTTTTATGCAAAAACTCACTTCTAATCCTTCATTTTTTTTAGGACTAATATTTAACCCTTAACATTCTCACATAATTTAATTTGGATTATTAGAATTTTAAGTTTATGCAATCGAGTCCCTAATTTTATGCAATTTAGTCCATGCTTTTAAAATTCCATTGTATACTTTTTAAAAATAAATTTTATTTCTATAATAAATTCAAAAATTCATTAGGGAGTTTGATCTAAATTTTCATAATTTGTTTTTCCTAATTTGAGCCTTCAATTTATTTATTTAGTGTGAAAATGACACTATTTCCTAAAACAAATAATCCCTATACCTACTAAAATTAATTTAAATTTTCTAGGCACTCTCACACATCCTATATGATTATTCTATGCTCTTTAAAAAAAAAATTTCATACTGTTAAGGTGCCTAATTAAATTCTTTACCTCTAAAAACACTATGCCTACACTTAGAAAATTCAATGAAATATTCACCATATGTAGAAAATTCATAAAATCATATAAAATAATCTAACACCCTTCTAAAATAATCATATAAAATTATTCTAAAAAAAAAATTATACACAAACAACATGCTTTAATTAATTTTCTCATGCAATAACTACTACTTATGTACCGAAAAATCACTAAAATATTCTTTAAGCATGAAAAACTATTTTGACCCTTCTAAATATTCTTTTAAGTTTCTAGTAATTATTTTGCATTCTC